CTTGAAAAACGAGGACATCTGGGATGTCCGGGAGTGGAATGCCTCAAAAAGGTTATGAAGGGCTATCAGATTTTGTGCCAGTTTGCATATTTTATTTGGTATACCTTCAATGATGACAATTTCAGCTTCAGTTAAGAACCTCAAAAACAAATGAGGACATAATCTAGGGAGAGATAGTAGAAACTGCCGATGCAGGTCCTGAAACGTCAGCTTTCCTGCTCCTCTGATGCTGCTTGGCCTGCTGTGTTCATCCAGCTCTACACCTTGTTATCTCAGATTCTCCAGCATTGGCAGTTCCTACTATCTGTAAGATAATGCACAATCTGTTTTTGGTCGAGGATAAAAGTTGACCAGAGCACATCAGGAGATTCTCTTACCCTCTGCAATTAGTTTTACTGGATTGTTTCCAGGCAGAATTTAATAGCTCCACAACAAAAGGAGAGATAATTAACGAAGTATAGAATGGAACCCCTAGCATATGTCTGCATTCAGCTGCCTGAGCTGGTCGAGGTGACATTGTAAAAGATTATTTTTAGCAGCCTAATAACAAGACAATGGAGAATTCAGTGACACCAGGAAAGTGAGTGGGAAAGAACTGAAAAAAGCCAAGACATTAAAACAAAGTATATAAAAAGTTGAGTGGAAAACCTAATGAAAGCCCAGGATCCCTTTATTCTGAAATGAATTTATTTGCAGCCAACAAACATCTCTCGAGCTTCACGTTTATCCCAGTTGGGTCAGTGAGTCTTGGTGAATGGGAAATTACCTGGAACTCAGCCAGCATAAAGCTCTTGTCTTTCAAGAGACAGAATTGTGATTACTGATCAAAGGGAATCATTACTGCACTGCTCTGATATCATAAATATTGGATTACATTCAACCCATTTCTCTGAAGGTTTTGCTCTTGTTATTTGTTGAATTTCATAATTGATTAGTGATTGACTGTTCTTGCCCATGACCACTTTTACTGGCTTATGGCTGGCTTTCTCCTAATATTTGCCTTTCACTGCCGTGATATTGACAGACTATTCATTCTGAATTGAAGGTTGTTTTGATTTTCTTTACAGCCTTGTCTCAAGAATATAAACATTTTTACAGTCATTGAGCACAATAACGCTCCATTCTTCCACAGAGTCAATCTCACCTACACACCTTGCCCCCACATCTCCAGCTATCTAACTTTTCACGTTATCCTTAACCCCATCTTCTTCCTATGTCCCTTAATCTCCTCCCTGTCATCTAATTGCTTCTTGTAAGTATTTATACTGT